CTTTGTAAGCTCCAACAGATTCAAAGGAAGAGAAATATGCTGAATTAAAGAATGCCTGGGAAGTCAACAATACTAAAATTATCACTTGGATCAACAATTCAGTTCATCAGACCATTGGTGTGCATTTGACTAAGTTTCGCACAATCAAACAGATTTGGGATTATTTAGCTACATTGTTTGTTCAGTCTAATTTTGCAAAGAGATATCAGCTTAAACATGAAATTTGAGTTGCACGTCAGGGTGATAAGACCATATAGGAGTTTTACTCGTTTATGACTGGATTTTGGGATCAATTAGCACTTGTTGAGCCAGCTGAATTGAGCACTCATATGGTATATCGTACTTTTAGGGAGGAGCAATGGTTGGTACAGTTTTTGATGGCCCTTAGAGATGACTTTGAGGGTCTTCGTGGTTTTATTCTCCATTGTCTCCCACTTCCCATAGTCGATGTAGTAGTGAATGAGTTTCTGGCTGAGGAAGTCCGTCTTAAGACTCTTTCTGGAAAGGGTCTTCTTCTATTGCCTAATCTGGCTGTACCACCCAAAGGGACTCCTCATTCACAGACTAAATATCGGGGTCGAGTTGCTTCGGATGAGTGTAGTTTTTGTCGTGAGAAGGGTCACTAGAAGGCTCAATGTCCTAAATTAATGAGCAAGAATGCCAAAGGGGCCTTACAGCAGCAACCATTTAGACCCAAAGATCGTCATACAGCTGCAGCTGCTTCACCAGTGGATGAGAGACACTCCATCAGCTCCCAGCATGACAATGATAGCTGATCAGTTGCAGAAGCTTCTTTCCCTTCATCATCCAGGTGCCCTATTAGTTTCTCCTTTCGCAGGTTCATATACTACAGGACCTTTAGGTATCTCTCGAACTGCCTGGGTCTTTGACTCAGGAGCCACTCATCATATGACTAGTAACTCTTCCTTATTTGTTTCTATTGTTCCCCCCCTCTATATCTGTTCTTGCTACCAGTGGCACCCAAATGTCTTTGGCTGGTGTTGGAACTATCGTGTCTTCCCAACTTACACTTCCTGATGGCTACTATATTCCTCAACTTACTTTAAATTTAATATCTGTTAGTCAGTTGTTTGATTCGGGATTCTTAGTTCATTTTTCTTCTACTGGTTGTGTTGTGCAGGATCCACGGTCCAAGAAGCTGATTGGGATAGCCTATAAAAATGGATGGCTATATGTGTTGGATGAACTTCATGTCCCTGAAGTTGTTGCATCTACTGTTGATTTATCTTCTTTTTAATTGTGTCCAAAATCGTCTAGTTTTTATTTTTGACATTCTCGTTTAGGTCATGTTTCTCATTCTCATTTAAAATTTTTAGCTTTTACTGGTAGTTTGGGTAGTTTAGAATGTCATGATATTTTTAGATTATAGTGGCTGCAAGTTGGCAAAATTTACTGCATTACCTTTCAATAAAAGTAATTCTCGTTCATTTGCACCTTTTGATCTTGTATATTCTAATATTTGGGGACCAGCTCCTATTGCTACTAAAAAGGGGTCTAGATATTATGTTTCTTTTATTGATGATCATACTAAATATTGTTGTGTGTATCTAATGACATGTAGGTTTGAGTTTTTTTCCATTTTCTCTACCTTTCGTGTTATGGTGCGTACTCAATATTTTTGTATCATCAAATGTTTCTGCTGTGATCAAGGTAGAGAATATTCTTTTAGTGCTTTTCGTGATTTGTTGAAATCTGATGGTACTGTTTTTCAGTTTTCTTGTACTGACACACCTACTCAAAATAGAGTGGCGGAACGGAAACATCGTCACATTATTGAGACTGCTCGTTCTCTGTTGTTGTTATCTAGTGTCCCTAGCTCTTTTTGGAGAGAAGCAGTTCTTACAGCAGTTCATCTGATTAATTGCATTCATACAATCCTTAATTCTGGTGTCTCACCTTTTGAAAAATTTTTGTAAGACACCTGATTATTTCTCCTTGCGTGTGTTTGGATGTACATGTTTTGTTCTGTTTCCTAGTGTTAATCGTACCAAATTCTCGGCTCGCTCAGCCTTATGTGTTTTTCTTGGCTACGGTGAGGGACAATAGGGATTTCAGTGTTATGATCCTAGTACACAGAAACTCTATGTTTCTCGCCATGTTTTTATGGAGCATATTCTTTTTTTCTCTATTCCATCTGGTTCTTCATCTTTGCATAAATTTGATCTTATATATCTTGATCCCTTTTCGTCTAATGTTTCTCCTGATTCTTATGTTGGTGATATGACTTTGATTGATCTTCCTTCCCCTTCTTCTTCTTCTTCCTCTTTACCTGATTTTTCTGTTACCCGTTCCCCGATTGTGCATTCTTATGTTCGCAGGACTCCCACTATTTTCTCCACAGATATTGTGCCTTCATCTGCACCTCTTGGCTCCCAATCAATTTCTGACACCGTGGATCACACTCCCCGTTACCCTCAGCGCACTCGGAAGTGTCTTGACAAGTTTGGTTGGTCCAATTCTTGCTATTCTTCTGTTTTTTGTTCTTTTCTGACTTTATACATTCTCTGTCTTAACCAACCTCCTATAAGGAGGCTATACTTGATCCTCTTTGACAACAGGCTATGGATGAGGGGCTTTCTGCACTTTATAAGACTCAAGCTTGGGAGTTGGTGCCTTTATCTCCTGGTAAACGCCCCATTGGTTGTAAGTAGGTTTATAAAATCAAAACCCAATCTGATGGTTTTGTGGAAAGGTACAAGGATAGATTAGTGGTCAAAGGGTTTGCTCGAGAGTATGGGCTTGACTATGATGAGACCTTTGCTCCAGTGGCTAAGATGACCACGATTCGCACAGTAATTGCCATGGCAGTTGCTCGTCAGTGGAGCCTATCCCAGATGGATGTGAAAAATACTTTTCTTCATGGTGATTTGTCTGAAGAGGTCTATATGACTCCTCCTCCTGGATTGCCTTGTAATCCTGGTTATGTGTGCAAACTTTACAAGGTTTTATATGGTCTTAAACAAGCCCCGAGGGCATGGTTTGTAAAATTTTCTTCAGTCATCTATGACGTAGGCTTCTGTGCTAGTGATCATGATTCTGCTCTCTTCCTTTGATCCACTTCTTCTGGTTTCATACTCCTATTACTTTATGTGAATGACATGATTATTACAGGTGATGACAATGCTGGAATTCAGTTGTTGAAAACTCAGTTATAAGATTATTTTGAGATGAAAGATTTGAGTCCACTTCGATATTTCTTAGGGATTGAGGTTGCTTCCTTTCCCAAGGGTTATCTTCTTTCTCAGTTAAAATTTGCCTCAGATGTTATTTAGCGAGCTGGCTTATAGGATACTCGAACTGTTGACACACCCTTGGAGCTTAATGTTCGTTATACTTGCTTTGATGGGTCTCTTCTATTTGATCCTACTTTATATCACACTATTGTTGGGAGTTTGGTGTATCTTACTGTTACTCGTCCAGATATTGCTTATGCGGTTCATGTGGTTAGTCAGTTTATTGTTGTTCCTATCACTCTTCACTGGTCTGATGTTCTTCGGATCATTCGATATCTACGGAGTACGTTACATCAGAGTTTGTTATTTTCTTCTTCTTTGTCTCAGGAGCTCCGTGCTTACTCTGATGCGAACTGGGCTGGTGACTCTATAGATCGCAAATCCACCACTGATTTTTGTCTCTTTCTTGATGATTCTCTTATTTTCTAGAAAAGTAAGAAACAAACTATTGTAGCTCGCTCTTCTGCTGAAGTTGAGTATCGTGCTATGACATCTACCACAACAGAGATAGTTTGGTTGCGTTGGTTGCTTGCTGATCTTGACATTTCCTTGACTACTACTCCTATGTATTGTGATAACACCAGTGCTATCCAGATTGCTCACAACTCGGTGTTTCATGAGCATACTAAACATATAGAGATTGATTGACACTTTGTGCGCCATCATCTTCAGCTGGGCACGATATCACTCCAACTCCCATATCTTTCTTCTAATATGCAGTTGGCTGATTTCTTCACCAAATCTCACACTATTGCCCGCTTTCGTTTTCTCCTTGACAAACTTTTGATGTCGGATGTTATCACATCATGAGTTTGAGGGGAGATGTTAGAGATATTACTAGTATATTAGTATTAAGGGTAGATTAGTCTTTTATATTACTATGTTTTGCCCTAGTATAACTTCGTTGTAATACTGATTTACACTTGATCAATATATTTTTTCTTTTTCATTGATAAATATCAACAAAGAGGACTCTCAATCGAATACTTGACCTTCCTTTTGGTACGCAAAAAAAACTTCAATGACATGGGACCAAGGATAATAATTGTTTACATTTAATTTTTCAGATGTAATCTGCCAAATCTGATCATCCACTAATCAGAACATCCATGGAAGTATCTTTTACATCCTTAACAGAGAATAAGAGAGCCAACAAGTCCCAAACAACCACAATAACACAAAATAACCAAAGGAGGAGCCAAGAACTGCCCAAAAATACCCAAATTGTCATCGATATCGCAGCCACAACCCACACTGTGAAGCTAATTGTCCTAGTAAGGCTCAAACACAACACAGGAGCCAGAAACAATTAGAAACACGAAATCTGGAACAGTTCGAACCCTGTTCAACCCTTTGGCACAAAAATTGTGTCCAGAACCACCAAATACGACTTGGTGTAGATCCAAGCAACAAACTAAGAAACTGTCCCAAACAAGCGGATCTAGAAAATAGACCATATTTTCTCAAAAAATATTCGAAATTCAAAACCCCTATTCAAATGGTTTAACAAAATAATAAAAAATCTCCATAATTATGACTATGAAAAGTCAGTCAAGGGGGGTAGGAAGTTTCTCACGTCAATGATAGAGAAGGTCCTCAAACTCCTCTACGATGTTTTTCGATGTTAGGGTTACAATAGTGCCAGGGAACTAGTTCAAACATTCTCCATCCCAGAAGTGTTCAATCCAAAGGGGTATTTGGACTGCTGATTCAGTGATCTTGAATTTGTGTAGCATGACAATCACAATGTCTATAGGTAGTCAGATAGAGCTTATTTGTCAGGCAAGAATTGAACCAGAATCTTACTATGAGGTCTGAAGTGTAATTTTTTCTCATTTTTTAGTGGAGTAATGTCTAACGACTTCAAGATGTGTTTTCTTGTCTGCGCCTGTGATGTTTAGGTCCGGAAATAATATTCAGCAAGTTGCTTGAAGCCACTAATAATCTAATGATCCCTTGGATAGGTCATTTACCTGAAGACTTAATGCTGTAAAAGCATGTATCTTTTCATTAAAGCCCATTACCTAGTTCCACACAAAAATCCTTGGGATAACAGCTTTACGGTCATGGTTAGAATATGAGGGCTGCCAGTGTAAAAAATTACATTCATTCTGGATCCACTCTCCTAACAGCCTCAGTAATGGCCACTTCTGACAATCAGATTTTTTGCAACTATCATGTTTTGTCAATCAAATTTCTCTGTTGTTTAATCATTCCTGTTCCTTGTGCAAATGTTTGGAGAACCATTTGAACTAATTTATTTCTCATTTTTCATGTGGGAAAATTTTCCCAACTGACTGGTGCCTCTACAGGTAGCCTCAGAGGCCATTAAGAGCCTTTTGTCAGCTATCAACTCCATAGTCTTGCAGCAGGAAGAAGAACTCAAGCTTCAGAAAAGATCTGATAAGCTTCAGAAGAAGTTGCAAAGGGAGTTAAACTCACTTGCTGAAATGGAGATGAAGTTTGAAGGGAACTCAACCGTGGGAGATGCACACACTATATTGAGCCCAAAGCACCCTTTATTAATCAAGCGTGCTAAAGTTGAAGAGTTGAAAAAACGAGTGGATGATGAGAAGGCCAAGTATCTGAACAGTGTTCATATTACCAAAGCCATGACTTTGAACAACCTGCAAACTAGTCTCCCCAATGTATTCCAGACATTAATGGGGTTTTCCAGTGCCTATACCCAGGCCTTGAAGACCAATCTTGACCGTGCCAAACCAGCAGATTGTGATGATGGATTGCTAGACCCAATGTGTTGATCTTGTGAAGTCATAAGTCTTGTTCTCCAAGCTTGGGTGTGTATCTAGTCTCTAGTGACTACCTCTGTAGAGTTAACAAAGATTACAAGTGCGATATAATGTATGCTTTCGTCACCTCAATCTTTACATAAAAACTTCTCGGCTTAACTTGTTGGGTAGCTCGAATGAAAATATTGTTTAGAATTTTACCTCAAAGTCCTAAATCAAATCTTGCAAGAAAACCCGCGTGGTTTGTAAGTAATTGTGTGCATCTAGAATTTCAAGTGATTGAAACAAATAGGTAAGCCATTTTACCTGCTTTATTGATAGTGAACAAGGTTATGTTAGCAGAATGAGGCATTTGAAGGTGTTCTATGTTGGTAGCTGCTTCAAGTTGAGCAGGTCAGCACAAATGTTGAAGAATTAATTGTTTTCAAATTAGTTTATCGTTAGTTATATTCCCCACAAATATGTAGTTCCAACTGTTAAAATGAACAGAAAAGTATAACATAAAAACAAATCAGCTTAACCTGTCGTGAATCACAAATAGTAGAGGTGTTAAGCGTTTGTGTCAATATTCGTGTTAATAAAATATTATTTAATTTTATTACATTTAATATAATATTATTTAAAATTTTAAAAATAACCACTTTGTGTTTGTAATACTCATTAAATAATTATTTTTTGTCTACAGTATCTATTAATTTAGTTATTTGTGTTTAATCTTAATTTGATCCATTAATCGATTCATTTTTTGGTTTTGGTTGTGTTTTTGGGTAGGTCTATGTCGGATTCGAATTTGTGTAAAATTGACACCCATGACAAATAGGAAGACTTCAAACTTATTATTTCAAGGTCATGCTCTGTGTACACGTATTTGGAGTTTGCCTTATAGGCGTGATTTCAAACTACGCATGATTGGAAAAGTTCTTTGTTCAGTAAAAAACTGCCCGTGTCAAGAAAATGCCATTATACTTTCGCTACTGGGGCATGTTACCATAGGAGGTGAATCGATGAAGTTTACGCGAGCCAAGAAGAGCTAGAGGAATAGAAAAGAAAATAGTATGTCGGGGGCGAAGCCAAAAAAATACTTTAGGGTGGGGATATTAATAAATTTTAATTTTTGTTTTTATCAATGTTATAGACTTAATTCAATGTTATTATTATTATAATTGTAAATTTCAATGTTAAATAAAGTTTACTTTGAATCAAAGGGGGACATTGAATTATGTCATCAAATTAGATTTAAATAGTATTTTTCATTTTTTTTTAATTGATCATAGAAGTTCATAAATTCATATTTACTATAATTACACGTAAAAACTCATTAAACAGAAAAGGTTAAAAAATAATTTGCATGGAATGAACAAACAAAAAATAAAAATAAATTAATTAAAATTTCGTATGAGACTAATTATTATCATTTTACAATTGAATCTGATTATTGTTCATTATTTAAAAAAATTACAAATCAATGATATCAATAAATATTTTTTTTCTATATACAAAATGATAATAACAGTCTTTTGTTTATTACCATGTAATGTATTACATAATGACGCTCATTTTTATATAATAACAAAATAATCCTATAATTTAAAAAAATGACCGCAATATGTCTAATAATTATTTGGACATGTCTGTGTCTAAAAATTTAAGAATAATAGTAATTTCATCTAATTCGAAATTTAATTTTATATCTTAACCAAAAAAAAAATTCAAAATTTAATTGGTAGGAATCCAATGGTTTGTGACCATTGGATGGATAATAGATGTTATTAAATGTTAAGACTCACTATTAGATTTAATATTATAATTTATTAGTTCCAATAACATTATTTAAAAATTAATTATTATTTAAGTAGTCGATCATCTTAATCAATATCACAAGAACACAATAATAAAGTGGGCACAGTTAAACATATCTAATTTTTTTTAAATATATATATATATATATATATATGTCAAAAAAAATATGAGGGAGGGCACGTGCCCACCCTAGTCCAAGGGTTGCTCCACCCTTGAGTATGTGTAACAAGAGTCCCGGATACCATTGGGTGGGGTGGCCTAGTGAGATGTTAGTCAATTTTTTTATCTTGAGGTTGGAAGTTCGAGTTTTGGAATCAACATCTGGGCTTGGTAAAGCTTTTAGAAACATTTGAAATTTGACAACTAAAATTAAAGAATTTTGATTTTAGATTTAATTTGGTCACATATATACACACCGACGCACACACACATACGTATAATATTACGAAACAACACTATAAAACCTAATTTTTATTACTCTTATATTATTTTGATATACTATATTAATACACTTTAAATTTGTGTAATTCTTAAACCCTAGTTTCTATTACTCCTGCACTGTTTTGATACACTTTAATTTTATAAATCCTTTAAAATATGTTAAAACAGTATAGGAGTAACAGAAACTAAATTTCATAGTGTGAGTTCGTAATATTATACACACACACACACACACACCAACAAATTAAATCTAATGTAAAATTAAAATTATTTTATTTTAATTCTTTTTAAGATAAAATAATTAAATCTTAATTTTAGTTTGTCAAATTTTAAAAGTTTCTAAAAACTTTGAAACATATCCCTAAAAAAATGGAAAAGATTTATTATGGATTTTGATTTTCCTAAATTTTATGTTTTTTTTTATTAGAACTTCTATATAATGAGAACAAATACATCAAAAGAAAATCAAAAAAAATTGAATTGTGTATATAAACACAATTAAGTTCTAAAAATAAAGATTTAATGACCTAACATTAAGATCCATGTACTTTTTGACAAGTAAGTCTAATTTTGTATCCTCATTTATAATTAACCCAAAAAATAAACAAACAAACTAGAGTCCCCAATAGTAATGGTAGCAAAAATCCACATTTCCAAAAGATTTTGGGCAATGACATTAAAATTTTCAGTGTTAAATTCCTAAAACAAGCAAGGCACAACAAGTGTCTAATAGTTGAAGACCAAGAGCTATGCTACACAAAGACTTGAAACTTTAACTTAGATTAATCATTGTCATTAATTTAGTTATAATTTCAATATTTATTGAAATTCACAATCTATTTAATGATTGTGATTCATCAATCAACAAATCATGTTAACTTTTTAAGTACAAACAACATTTCAATAGACAAATTTACAATAATTAAAAAGTTAAACTATAACTGATAGTTTTCCTGCTATTAAAAAGTTCAAATATAATGATAGACTTATTATGGTAAAAAATATATCTTATTACTTATAAATGTTAGCATGTGTGAAAAATTTTTAATTTTTTTTTCACCCTTAATTAATACCATAAAACTAATTATACCCACATATTTTCTTGTCTTTTATACCTAATGGACTTCCAAAATATTAGCTAGATAAACTTTATCTCTATAACATGGTAGATAAACTTTATCAAAATATTAGCTATATAAATTTTATCTCTATGATTTGATAGATAAACTTTATTTCTATAACTATACATTTTTCTTTTTTCATTCAATTGTACAAACTCTACTAGAATTCTAATACCACATATTGATAATTTTTAGGTGATACATATACATATACATATATTTTTTTATTTTTCCTACTTATTAGAGTTCTAAAATATTTTGAATTCCTTCATATATATATATATATATATTTGAAGTCTTATGGTCTCATGCTCTTCCGTGACAAACTCAATGAAGTCGAAGTTAAAGTTTTCGACATAATTGAGGTTAATTTATCAATTCCTTTGTTTTAGTTTATTAATTCCTATATTTACGTTAATTTTTATGTTCTGTGACACTTAATTTTTCTTAATTTAATGTCAAGTAACTTTTTAAGAGATTTGTGTGGCAGGTCAAATATTCAGCATAGTAATTAAGGTTAATTTATTAATTCTTATGTTTTAGTTTATTAAATTAGTGTGGCAGGTCGAATATTTGACATAATTGAGGTTAGTTTATTAATTCCTATATTTACATTAAAATTTTCTATGTTAGTGTTTCTTTATTTTATTACAACCTCTCGTGAATCCAATTTTTCATTGCTCATATAACTAATATTTTGAAAGCTTGTTCAAATCTCCTATAATATTGACCTAATTATTCTTTAATTTTTGAATTGATGGTAAATTCCAACATTTATTCAGACCAACAATCAATTCAATAATAAATAAATTCAATCCAACATTTTTTGGGTATTTTTATGTGTACCATATTTTTGAGTATTTTTATCATTTATTGACTAAAATTTATCAAATTTTGAGGTTAAAAGATTAAGTGTTTTTTTTCTAAGTATTTTAATTATTCACTTACCTTTACAAAAAATTATTCAATTTTATTACTCATCAATTTTGTATTTCAAAATAAATTTAATAACAAAGTAATGAACTAATTTTTTTTTACGTGTAACGCACGTGTGCATTGCTAGTGTTTTAAAATGAGTAATTGCATATGAATGATTTAAATTGTTATTGTACTTTAGGTCATGTTTCACTGTATCATTTTTAACACATTTATTGTCTCAAAGATGCTTATATATAGCCCTTACGATACATCACCCATGCAGTGATGGGTGGGACACAGAAATCTCCAGACTACATTCCTTACTAAAGCATTGGCCATTAGTTTCTCCGATAGAGTTAGGTGACAAGCATTTTGTCCCTTGCAAGGTTTTAGAATTTTCCCTTCGTCACTTTAAAGATCTCAAAATCTCACATGTCGTCGTGAAGTTCTTTAAATGATTGCAATGTACCCCAAATCCACGTTACATATGCTTTCCATCCCTTCATATGCAGGAAGATAACCTGTGCATTGTGGTTATAGAGACGAATTATAAATTCAGACGTCCTGAATTCAAATATTGACAATCTCTTGGAGTTAGATCATGAGGTCCCAATGTAGATAGTCTGTCTTTGACAGGACCGGAAAAGGAATTATCAGAGAGGGGATTAGTTGAAGTGGACGGAAATTAACTCAAACGTCTCTGACCGTTGAACCAAAATATGAAGTTTCCAAATTTTACGTATAGTCCAGAAGATGCATTACAAACACATGATGGTTATCTACACAGTTAGAGCTTGTGAAAATATATTGTCATAAGCAGGCTATCTCTTAAGCAGCCAGTAAATCCGACAGCAGCATCCAAACTTACTGCAGAATAGAGATCATATTGTACATCAGGCTAAAGCTTCTTGTTCTTTTATCTGGACATAAGGGTCGGCACTGTCTTGCATATATCCGATGGTAGGGCAAATTGAGTAGCTGTCAACCCTGTGTAGATGCATGGACCAAAGAATGCTCTTTCACATATCGACAAGGTCCCGGTCAATCGAATGGTCTTTAAAATCAAATTCCGATTGGAGAAGCCTATTTGGAGCCAGCTTACTCATCACTGCAAGGCCTGGAAAAAGTAAAAGAATTCAATTTCATACTAGGAAGAATCACAAAGGCATCTTCAGTCAACTCTTAAAAATGATGAGAATAAACAAGGAAGGAAGGACATTCACATACGCATTAATGTTACCGACTCTATTATTAAAAAACAAACATGCGCAAGGGTCACATATCTCTGGCGAAGTTTGGGGCAGGTAAGTGATAGGTAGCCTTTACCCTTTGGAGAGGCTAATTCTGGTATTCGAACCCACGACATATCGCTTGGGTGGATCAACACTTACAATTGCTCTAAACATAGTACGATTTGATAGAGGAACAATCTCAATACATTAGATCCCTTGATTGAAAGTGGACACTCTTACTGCATATGGTATTTGGTATTTTATTTTATTCCTCTGTGGTGAATGTGCCTATACATGTGCTTAAACATAACTTGATACTGCTCTTTCTACGTACATCTAATTTTTCCCAAATCCCGCAGTAACAAAAGTCTTGTGCACTGGATCACCCCTTTTTTATTAACAACAAAGACATTCACATTAGTTCTAAGGCACAAAAACTACTGGACTGTGTTTTCGTGAACCAAAATGTCTTGGTTCAATAGCAATAATCAAGCACTGCAGATTACAAAAGTAGCATTTTCGAACTAACAAGGATGGACCCCCCAAAAAAGAATATGTTGAATTCATCTGCCCAAGAAGATGGATATAATGCAAACATGCAATGTGTACCTTCAATCATTTTGTATAGAGCTGACCACCATCTGTGTCTGGGAACCTGGTACTGATCAAGGGTCTCTTCAATAACCTTATCATGCTTCCCCTCCAAAACTCCCTGCAGAGTTATTACTGCATCCTTTGTTTTCTTGAGAATATTGTCCTCATCTTCAATTTCCAATCGTACAAGATCATTTTGGGATGAAGTGAGGTTAACAGCGACCGCAAACTGGGCAACAGCAGCCCAGCGGGAAGAGGCAAGCCATCTCCTTTGCCCATCTAGCCGTTTGGTCTCTTCTCTCTCCAACTTCTCCTCTCCTCCAAGTACTAAGCTGCGCAAGTACTCAGCATTCGCTGCCCCTGTACTTTGAACCATCTTAGAGAAAGCACTTTCTTCCTTTTGCAACAGTTCCTCTGGGGTATTATATTCCAAAACCTGAAGTAAAAGGCACATAAACTCATACTACTACATGAACAGAAAATCAAAGCTAAACAAATGATTAAAAATCAATTTTGGAGTGAGCTAGGAATCCATTCGCAGATTTTGTATTTATTTCATTTAGACACGCCACATGCACCTCATTTAGGTATAGGTTGCACTCCTCTCTTCAAAATTAGGTGCAACTCTATGGAAATGCAAGGAAACAAGCAAGTGATACATACACGGCCAGCATCAAGCAGAAGAATTCGGTCACAGTCAATGATGGTATTTAAACGATGAGCAATAATGAGCATTGTGCATGATCTAAATTCTTCTCGAATGGTCTTTTGGATAAGAGCATCAGTTCTAACATCAACAGCGGCTGTTGCTTCATCAAGAACGAGAATCTTTGATCTCCGAAGCAATGCTCGAGCAAGACTTAATAGTTGCCTTTGTCCAACGCTGAAATTCTCCCCTGCCTCTGAGACCTTGACATGTGAATATAAAACATTACTCTAGTTTACAACTGAAATTTTTATGACAAAGTTCAAAGAAAATAATAAGATATCATTGGCCTGCAGACATCGTATGAAATATTTGCTCAATTTGTACAGATTATATTAACCCCATTTTGCTAAAATAGGCATTAAAATTTCAATAATTTCATACAAGACGAGTAATAGCGAACACATGGAGGGTCTTGAATCACTGTCTAACATACAATGTGTGTATTTCAGGTTTTACTATCCTACTACATGTATGCAGAAGGATAGCAGCGTGCCCAATTTTACCGGACATAACCAGACAGCAGAATTCCACAGCGGGGTTGGGGAGAACCCCGTGATCATGTTGGAATAAAGGGGAACAAAGAAGGCCAGAAGGGAAAAGAATGCTTGAAGTTACATTTTTACTATCCTTTTCAAAGGCAAGAAAGGAATTATAGATGGTAATAAGGTACGATGCTATCCAATGACAAACATATAGCAGGCTAGCAAAAACCATTAATATTGTCACCATTGTATCCAAATCAGTATAAATTGGCAATAACACTTTCAATCACCTTCCTAAATAAATTACTTACTCTGGCTCATCAATTAATTGTATCCAATGAAAATGTAGGTATTCATCTTGTATGCAACTTAGTAATTAAAAAAGGGAAACAAGTCATTTCTGTTACAGTCAAAAAATCAGACAAAGGAATCATAAGAAACTTCATTGCACTGACGGCCCATTTTAAATGCTCAAAAGCATTTCAATTGGCTATCATCTTGTTTAAACAAGGGATCTTAAAACAAGGGCATGTGATGAACATTAAAGGACAAGAATAATAAGTAGATGCTAAACGAATAATGCACAATCTCCTTGGAACTCCAAAGGGTTGCCAGCGGCCTTGCTTGACTTATTGAAATGCCAGTATAGACTTCTGGCACATGGTCGGCTAGCTAAAGGTCAGCTTCGGTTCTAGGCATAGATTCGCCAGTAGCAGTTCCTTTCCCAGTTCCCATTCAACATTCATTCCATTGGCTAAATAAAGTTCTTATTCTAACGAGGAATATAGTAGGGTATCAATCAGAACTGTTGACAGTCTATTACAGGAGCTATTACTGATACTCAGGGTACTATATTAGACTGCTGATTAGTTCGCAGAAGTAGACCATATCCAACAGAATAATAATGTGAAATCTATTTTCTTTTGTGGATCACTCTTACTGACCACGATGTTACCAATGAAGCTATTGCACATGTCCTACATAGTCCCAATTTAATCCAGTTCAGAGGTTGCCAAGTGTATCAAATTAATAACGAATGGATTTCACATAAAAATTTAATCCTAATATAACAAACCCGGTCTCTTTGGATGCTAAGTTATTGGAAAAAACTGTAACTTTGGGCTGCAAGTTGGATCCTGATTAATGAAAACAACATAGATCACAGCCATAACTTTCAATTAAAGCAATTATTCTTAAGCTGTTTTAATGAGTCATAATAATACACAAAACAGACCCATCAACTGAATATCCCAAACCATTCCTGCACAAACAATTGTAAACATGAAACCTTCCTGGCACCAAACTTAACTACTACAGAGCCAGTAAAGAAGATATGACCATGTACCTCAGCATCCAGCCCCAAAGAATTCCTCCTGATAACATCCTTTAGATGTGCCCTCTCCAAAGCCTCCCATAGGTCAGCATCATTATGTTCATTGAATGGATCAAGATTAAATCTCACAGTTCCTAAATGAAAGATGAGACTATCAGAATAATAAATCTATATAAAGGGAAAGTTTTTGTTGAATTCAGTCAATTTGTAAACTACATATGATGTAGAACGGGAATTAGCAATCATTCTATTTTTATTTTATTATTTATTTAGATTGAGAGTTTAATCAGGAATATTCTACAATGATTCGCTGCCTAAACCATGTCAATTTTTCTAATTCATTAGACATGTATTTATTTGTTTTTAGTAACTTTCCTAAGACTAGAGATTTAGGTCTGTTTTGGAAATCTTTAGGGGTTTGGGGATTCCTATAATTCTATTCAGTTAATCAAATCAATAATACAATATTTTGAGAGTTTTCTCTACCTTTTCTCAGAGTGTTCTTGTTCTATACAGTTAAAGATGGTGATCTCTTTGTTTCCCTTCATTACCGCTGTGTCAACATACCACCTTAGTTGCAATATTAGAAACCCACAAAAATCAAAATAAGAATAAGAAGAAAATTATGTGGTAAACAATGACTGATGCCGTTGGGGAAAATTTTGGCAGCCATCACATACAAACAACTGGACTATAATACTGACCATTCCATTGCCAAAAACAGGTGATCATACATCTCACTCTTAACTTTCTCAACGGTCATCAAGGTCAATCACTTCAGAAATCATTTAGAAGTTGCACATTCATGGAAATTTCAATATAATTTTTTCTAAAATTAATTGAATTTTGAGGATGGTACCCCATAGTTGTTTTTTGAACAGTGGATGGTCCCACATAGTTGATTTGTAGGCTTTTGTAGTTTACGAAAACATTCAATTGTATGACAACATTCATTCTAGAATTTTAAGAGAAGCGTTTGAAGCTTGGAGATGTCAAAGAAAGATTTTAGACCTGTCTTCAATACTCAAGTTGAACGAGTGGAAGCTAATCATTTTCAATCCTCAATTTCATGGAGATGGAATTATAGCCTGAGTCAACCCCACCATTTTCTTGATACTGATTCTAATTTATTTAGAATTTTTTACAAATTTGACAATGGTAACTATTGAGAGTATTATTATTATATTTTATATAGCTGTAAATTGTAATAAGCATACCTCTATGAGGGTATACTAGTCATTTGTGTTATTAGATAACTACAAATACTAGTTGATAAGGAGAGGTAGTGTAAGTTTCACCCATCTCTGTCTCTTTCATATTGTGTTTTGTTTCTCTCCATTCTCCAAACTTAATATGGTATCAGAGCAAGTTTGATCCGAATTTGATCTGAAAATTTGAGCCCACTGCCCAGTCTTCTTGTTCTTTCTCTTCTTTCGTTTTTCTTCTTTCTTCTTTTCTTTTCTTCGTTTGCTCCATCTACTGTGCGACCCACGACATGGTCTAGGGTTTCTGTCATCCTATGCCTAACGAGTGGTCGAATGGGGTGGTTGGATATCGCTGTTGTTGTGGTGATGGATTCTAATTGTGCCGTTGTCGTTTGTGTATGTCCCAGTGATAGAATTGAGATTCTGTGATGGAATTGAATGCCGATAATAGATTCGAGTGTTGTTCTGTCACTGGAAGCTTTATAGGTTGTGTTGTGGTGGTCGCTGTTGGTCTGTTGGTTTGTTGCTGTGCCATTGTTGTTGTCGGAGTGATTTGTTGTTGCTATTGTGTGGTTTAGTTTAGGCGTTGTGATCGACTTTGTTGTTACTACTAGATTCCGGTGCGTTTTGTCACTGCCGGTGTGTTGTGGTGGTCATCAGTAATCTGTTGAACCCTTCGACGTGCAGAAGATGAAGCCCAACTAGATCTAGGTCGATCCGTAGGATTATAACCCTCAACTTGGTCACGAACTAAATTAATTACCCACCGTCCAAGCCCAATTAATTGAAACCAACAAAGGTCCACCGTCCAACTAGATTTGGATCCAACACAGGCCCACTGTCCAGGCCCAATTCTTTAAGCCAATCGTCTTCAGCCCACAGGGGAGCCTAGCAAACCTAGGGTTCACGTTTAAACTGGTTCAGGTTCAGACCGGTCCAAATCAAGTTCAAGTTGATTTAGATCAGTTTGGTCCCAATTTAGATCCAAATTAGACCGGTTCGGGTTGGTTCAAGTGCTTTTACAACCAGTTCAGACCGATTTTGGTGTTTCCAGCAACGTCTGAGGTTTTCATGCAGGTTTAAAGGCTCTTTTATCATTGGTTTAGCCATCTCTTCAACTAGTTCAGCCCTTTCTTAACCAGATCTATGTTAGTTTCAGCTCCTCGTCTAGTTGTCTATACATTTAGCCTTAGATTCTCTTATCTTTGGCTAGTTTTGCACTATTCATGTGACATTTTTGTATTATCTTATCTACTTTTATTTGGTTAGTTACTATGGAGCCCAAGACTAATACTCCACCTCTTGCCATCTTGTCACCCACACTTTCCTTGGTTGTTCTTTTTTAAAGCTCCCATGACTTTAGTCAAGCTCAATAGGACTAATTATGTTTTATAGTCCTAATGTATTCAAGTATTTCTTTAAGGTAACAGCCTTAAAAAGTATTTGGTGAGAGCAAAATCCAAGGAAAGTGACCCCAAGTTCAATCAACGAGAACAAGAGGATGCCCAAATTATTTCATTACTGTTGAATGACATTGAGTCTCATATTATAGCTCTACAGTGCTTTATCTCGATACTGCCAAAGATATTTGGGATCATTTAGCAATCATGTATTATAGCACTGGTAAATTTACTCGTGCTTATGAAGTTAGCAAGTAATATTTTTTCCTTGACCAAGGTACAGTGAGTTTAGAAGACTATTACTCCCGAGTTAGGGGAGTTTGTGAGGAATTGAGGATTTACCACCCTTTCACCACTGATGCTCAACTTTGACATCGACAATGTGAGGATTCAGATGTTGTTCACTTTCTTATGGGTTTGAAGCCAAAGTATGACCCTATTCGTGCCCAGATGTTAGGTGATCCCAGCCTTCCATCCTTTCTCAAGTCTTTTTCCGCTTATAGCATGCTACTTTGTCCAATGCTCATGGATCATGGTCTTTCTATTGATCGTTCAGCTTTAGTTGTCTCTAATGGCAACACTGGTAGTACTCGGGTAGTCGTGCCTCTTTGAAAGGGCAGTAGTGGAGGCCATAGGGGCTGTCCTAGCATTCGTTTATCTACTCATTGTAGTCGTACTAACCACATTGTTGCTTATTATTGAGATTTACATGGCAAGCCATTTGGTATTGCCAATCAGCTCTCCTATCTGAAAGATGCTCCCTCCTCACCTACACTATCAGCACGTTCAGCCCTTCCTAACTCTGAGTTAGTTACTATTACACAGGAGTATACTCAGTTCATGTCCCAACAACACACAATACCCTCTTCTTTCATTACTACTTTTGCGTAATCAGGTACCACTTCCACTTGTTTACCATCATCCTCCTGCAGCGCTTGGATCATAGATTCTAGTGCCTCTAATCACATGACTGGTTTGTTTAGTGTCTTTTCTATTTATCATTCTATTACCCCCTCATAGTATTACTCTTGCTAATGGTACGTCCTTTAGTTTCAGAATTGAAAACTACTCAATTAAATTTTGATTTGTCCTTATCATCTGTTCTATTTGTTCCTTAGTTCGCATTCAGGTTACTTTCTATTAACAAGATTACTCATTCGCTTAACTGCTCTGTAACTTTTTATCTTTCTTATTGTGTGTTTTAGAATCTCTAGACAAAGAAGAAGATTAGTACAAGGTATGAAGTCGGTGGTCTCTATTACTTTGACCTTGATACATCTCCACAATCACTTCAAATCTCATCATCTCTATTTCAGTGGCATTGTCGCCTTGGTCATCCCTCTCACACGAACCTGAAATGTCAAGTTCCGAGTCTTAGTTATGTGTCATCTTATCTTGTAAAACTTATCAACTTAGTAAACATCACCGTGTGTCATTTTAATCAAGAATCAATAATCATATGCCTAGTCCATTTGAGTTAGTATAATCTAATGTATGAGTCCAATAAATAATATTTTATATAACAAATAATCTTATTTTGCGTTATTTGTGGATGATTATTCTCCTGTGACTTAGGTATTTCTTGTAAAAGCTCGTTCTGAATTATTTTTTATATTTGAGACATGTCGTAAGGATATCAAAATCCAATATGGTTGTTGCAATCATATTTTACGTTCTGAAAATGCTTGTGAATACAAATCTGACCCTTTTCCTGCTTATCTTTGTAAGACTAACATTGTCCATCAATCGTCATGTGTCCACACCCCACAACAAAAATAGTGTGGTTGAGCACAAAAATCGTCATCCGTTGAAAGTGACACTCACTTTGATTTCAGATCCATGTTCCTCGATGTTTTTGGAGTAATGTTCTTATTGCTTGAAATCTCATTAATCGTATATCATCTTCTGTGTTACAGGGACAAAGTCCACGTTTGGTCCTTTTTCCCAATGCCCCTTTGTTCTTTTTACCTCTCAAGTCTTTGGTTATGTTTTATTATGTTCACAACTTGGGTCATTGATTTGATAGACTCGCCCCTCGTGCTACAAAGTGTGTTTTTTTTTAGTTATTTGCACACACATAAGAGGTATCGATGCTATAGTCCGATCCTCCGTAGATACTTCACTAGTATTGATGTTACTTTCATTGAATCAGACTTTTTGGGTCCTAATCATCCTGTGAACCTTGACTTTGCACAATCACCTCCACTCCCCTTCCCTTACCGTCTGTCATTCCGCTACCTACTATACTACCACCTTCTTTACCACCCCAGTCTACTCGGTATATACTCTTGTCATCGACGATTATCAACCGAGGTACCCCTACTATCTTCCTCGCCATCTTCTGATCCTAGTATTCTAGTTCTTGATGCCTCTTTACCCATTGCTCTCTATAAAGGTAATCGATCTTGTGTTATTCTGCATCCTATTACTAATTTTATATCTTATGATGCTTTGTCTTCTGTCTTTTCTTGTTTTATCTCTCAATTGTCTATCGTCCCTATTCCTTAGACATTATAGGGTGTATTATTTGATCCAGGTAGGAGAAAGCTATGAAAGTGAAAATGCCTTACATCATAATAGTACTTGAGATCTTGATCCCCTACCCCCTAGTAAAAGGACTGTTGGCTGTTACAGTCAAATTTAATCCTAATAATTCTGTTGGACGTCTCAAAGCCAAATTTTTTGCCAAGGAATTAACTCAAACTTATGCCATTGATGATAAGGAAACTTTTTTCCCTGTTGTCAAAATTTTTTCTGTTCGTGTAATGATTTATTTAGTGCTAATCTTCATTAATCTTTTTTTCAGTTATATGCGAAAAATACCTTCTTATATGGTGACTGGGCTAAAAAATTCTATATGGAGCAACTACTTGGATTTGCTGCTTAGGAATGAGTATCATCAGAGTGTTTGTCGGCTAAAAAAATCTTGATATGGTTTAAAACAGTTACTGTGAGCGTGATTTGATAAGTTTTCATAGACAGTTTGAGAGTTTGGTCTTCTAAGATGTCAAACAGACCACTTGATTTTCCATAGACATACTAATTCTAAATACATTATACTGGTTGTTTATATGGATGGTATTCTAATTATTGGTGATGATTCTAAGGGTATTGCAATGTTGAAAGTCTTCCACCAGGACCGATTCCACATTAAAGACCTAGACAAACTCAAGTACTTATTGGGTATTGAAGTTGGCAGGTCTAAGTAGAGCATTTGTTTGTCTCAACAAAAATATGTACTCAACATTCTACTAGAGGCAATTTTACTATGTGATAGATCAATTGATGTTCTTATGGATCCGAATCAGAAGTTATTGATAGATGATGGTACATTATTTGAAAATTCTGGTCAATCTCACAGATTGGTTAGGAAGCTAAATTATCTCACTGTTATCCAACTAGATATTACACATGTAATTAGTGTAGTGAGCCAATCTAAGGGATGCCAGAGAATACCACATTGGAATGCAGTCATCTGCATTCTTCGATACCTTAAACGTGCTCCTAGATTTGAGTTATTAAATCGAACTAATGGACATCTTAGAGTGAAAACTTTTACAGATTCTAATTGGGTTGGCTCTCCCTTTGAGCGAAGATCAACCACCGGATATTGTACATTCTTGAGAGGTAACATGGTTACATGAAAAAGTAAGAAACAAACAATAGTAACATGGTCTAGTGCTAAAGCTAAGTATAAGGTGATGATCAAGGATCAATATATCGTTTCGAAACAATCAAAAAATCCAAAACGTTTTTGTTTTCAAGGAAACCGAAACGATTCAGTGATGGAATCGAAAATTCAAATATTTCGAGATATTCCATAACATTTCGAGATGAATTATAATATTTAAATGTCTTTACACAATTGTTTCGAAATGTTTTAAAGTATTTGAAGATACTTTGATATATTCCAATCAATATTTTAGAAAAATAATTCTTAAATTTTTTATTTTTTTCATTATATTTCCGAAACGAGTAGAAACATTTCCGAAACACGCAAAAATGTTTCTGTTTCTTAGGTGACCAAAATAATACACAAACAGAATTTTGATCCTTGGTGATGACATACCAATAGTGAGTTGACATGGTTACGACATTTTCTTCAAGAGATTGGTTTTCCGGTCCAACTTCTCTTACAACTATTCTGTGATAATTAGACATCTATTCATATTGCTACTAATCCCGTATTTCATGCGAAAACCAAACATATCGAAATCGATTGTCACTTTATTCAAGACAAGATACTGAATGAAGATATTGCAACACCATTTGTGACATCTGAAGATCAGCTTACAGATATATTCACCAAAATATTGAACCGTACTCGTCTTACAACGATTTATTCCAAAGTTGGATTATACAGTATATACTCCAGCTCGAGGGGAGTGTTGAGAGTATTATTATTATAATTTATATAGTTGTAATAAATATACCTCTCTAAGGGCATACTAGTCTTTTGTGTTTTATTAGAAAACCATAAATACCCATTGACAGTGAGATAAGGAAAGTTTTACCGTTCTCTGTTTCTTTCGTATTGTGTTTTGTCTCTCTCAATTCTCTAAACTTGACAGTAGCAATATGACATTCCAAATTACCCCTTGTTTCTTAAACATATTACATGTGATCCTTCTCATTTTAGACAATTTTTTGAGTGATTGAGATGAATAAATCCATGCAGTGACATGACTTATAAAATTCTAGGGATGGTCCTGTTGGAGAGCATTAGAAAGAAGATTTGAACACTGAAGGCACGTGTTCGATCCAAACTCATGGCTTTGCTTATAAAAAACAAGTAAGCTAGTAGTAAATACATGCATAGACACCCTTAGGATTTGGGGGCATTCTAGCCACTATCATTACTTCTAAATAGTGTGCACATTATCCTCCTGCATCTAGTCTGGGTGTCACTGGGCTACATAACACAATAATAGGTAAAAACCAAAAGGAGAGAATAGGGTATGGTCTTGTCCTTGAGATTCAAATGAGAAAAGAGTTCCAAATCTCTATACATACACCCGCAAACCAACTCCACTTTAACAATAGACTGACAAATATTTATGATGAGAAACGTATTGAATGCAACACAAGGGAAGGAAAACCGCTCCAAAATTATTTAAATGCAGCAAGCAGTAGAAGTTCAATGAAATGCACATGGTATGAAACCAGGCAAACCACAACATTGGATAGTGTGTACCTGAGAAAAGAACTGGTGCTTGTGGTATAATACCAAGAACTTTTCGAAGATCTGTCAATCCAAATTTTGCAATATCATAGTCATCAATTAAGATCCTTCCTCTTTCCAGTTCTACAATCCGAAATAATGCATTCAACATGCTAGATTTCCCTGCTCCCGTTCTTCCAACAATTCCGACCTTGTCACTTGGACTAACAGTAAAGGATAAACCATGCAGTACGGGAGGAAGTTCAGGCCTATAACGGAGGACAACATCTTCAAACCTGATAGATCCTGATGAAGGCCATCCGGGAGGAGGACGGTTAGTCTCAATAATAGCTGGACCCTCTGAAGGTAACTCTATATATGTGCCAACCCGCTCAACAGCATTCAAACTATTTTCAGCCAGACTTGCAAGCCTCAGTACACCAGTCAATAAGCTTGTAATATTTAATGCATAACTAAGAAGCAGACCCATTGTAGAGGCAAATGCCTCCTGGTTCTCTGCCCTTCCATTCTGCATGACTGCAAAGGTTGCAGTAAGCCAAATCATAAGGCCCCCCAATGTCTCCAAACGAATAGCAAGCCAGCGGTTGCCACTCATGTTCACAAGAGTGAACCTGACATTGGTGTCCATCGATTTCCCATTAATGTTGGCCATTCGATCATATGCTTTGTATGCACGTATGGTTGAAAGGCCGTTCAAGGCTTCGCTGAATTGTGCATACACAGGAGACCTGGTAATGGAATCTAAGCGCTTCACTTCACGGGCTGTGCTCTGTAAGAATAAGAAAATTAAGTGAACAGTAACTCACAACCTTAAAAAAAGGTAACGACATAAAGACAAGACCATACTAATCTAAACCTAGCTCTTTTAAGGTACTCGTGACTCAAATAAGCATTCGACACAACTGCAAAGGGAATGAAACAAAACTGTAAACTGTGGTCTTCACACTCACAAATGTTTATTTGATGACTGATGGACAACAGACTCAACACATGCAACTTAAGGCGGCATACCATTAATTCATTATCTGGATTTCCAACTCCCCACTGAGTCAAATTGTCTACTTTATTTTGCTTCTGTACAAAATACTTATCCTTAGGATGATTGCGGACCTATCCAAAGCGACTGTCTACGGAATTGCAAAAACACATAATCGAGTGTAACTGGAACAAGAATATCTACATATTAGTTTAAGAAATGAAGATATTCATGAGAAGGTTGATGTAGCACTAATGATGTGCAGATATCAAAATGATGGCTAAGATGGTTAACGGTCATTTGCAATAAAATTTACTAATTGTAAACGAAGCATCAAGACATTAAATAAAACAATTCAAATTGAAAGTGCCAAAACAAGCACAAATTTAAATAGATGGAGGGAGAAAGATATTTTAGCTCATGCATCATAATTCCATGAACAAATTTTGTAATATGAAAGGAATTTGAGATTGGAAAGAGAAAATAGAACACGAAGAATATACATGGTCAATGGCGGAGCCACCTTATGCTGAAGGGGGCACATGCCCGCCTTAAATTTTTCTTCTAAAATGACCTATATATATTTTAAGTATTTTTTCAATATATTAAATTATACCCACCCTATTTTTTAGTCAAGGTCAGAAAATGCATGATATATCCATGAATTTATTTATAATTTTGACATTTATTTTAGTAATTATCACTGACATAATAGAGAATATATTTTATTGTGCAATCGAATTAATGATAAATAGCTAAGTGATAGCATGATTGTGAATATAAAGAATAATAAAGTTAATGCAAGACTTTTAATGTGTGAAAATTCATCGGAATCAATTCTAAATAGTTTTGATTAGCCATTGTTTTGTAAAAAGATATAATTATTCTTTTTTTTTGGTAATTTGTAGCTGTTGTGCTTACCAATTTTAGCCTTTTAAGTTTAATGAACTTTTAAGAATTAAATAGGATGTAATTAAATTTGAATACATTATCCTATTTTTATCCAGTGCAAGAAAAAGATTAAGCTTGTTAAAATATTAAAGCGTCCACCTTGAAATGATTTTCTAACTCTACCCCTATACGTGATTCGCACACAATGCCTACATCCACAAACCAAGTGCCCAGTAGGCTACATCTGATGTATTATTGATGGGTGATTGTATACATAGAGCTCAAGCCTATTTATGGAGTGAGATATAAACGAGATAAACATACATATATATCACTTTAGCTTATCATCATTGTATCCGCACCGTGTATATTGTTGGATCTATGTGAATCCTATCATATCTCTAATAGATTAAAATAAACAAGTGGCACTACATAAGTAGGTTGTCATTTACAATTAATCGACCCCATATCGTAGAAATGAGGCTTTCTTGAAGCTGAATTGGAAGTATTTTCTCTCCAACTACCAGTTATGAGCTCTAGCAATTTCACTCAGTTCACAGTAAACTTATAAAATTGATCTAGGGTGGGATACATGAACGTGAAATCAATTATGATCTCAAAGGAGTGAAACAGAAACAAAGAAAACAAGACATACCTGATAATATAGATACGCTCCATAGAACAAAACCAGAAGTGGCATAATAGCCCACAGGGACATCGTGCTCACAACTCCAATCAGCACAAAAGTTGAAATCAGCTGCGACACCTGGCTGAGAAACATATTCGCAAAAGGGGCAACATTTCGATCTATGTCACCTAAATCCTTCGCAAACCTATTGATAATCCGTCCAAGAGGATTGGTGTGGAAGAAGACCATCGGAGCTCTTAATATAGAGTGAAGCATAGCTTCATGCAACCTTCTGGCCGCATAGAGGCTAGATGTAACCAACCAAAATGAATTTACCAATGTCACCAAAACCTGAACTCCGCAAAATTATAAAAAAAGTTAGATTTAATTTTCCTTTTCTTCATATCCTTTTCTTCTTTGCAACTTAAATTACAACATCGTATGTAGGCTATGAATCATAGTTAACTTCTTAAGATAGTGGGAAAACGGCACTAAGGCTATAAAATCGATTGGCGGAATTATATAAACTTCTACATGGTTGGTCTAACTAGAAGTTTAAGGACAGTTTAACTAAACAAAACCAAAACCAATGATAAACCTATTCAAAACATACTTGACCAAATGATAGGAGTGAATATATCAGATTGTAGAAACCAGGCTCATATCTCTTTTGACTGCTTGTATCTGTCCAAGCACTTAACCATGTGCTACTTAAAATTCGGAGAATTTCAGTTAGAACATAGCACGAAAAGAGTATCATTACTACCCATGTGCCTCCCAATGCATTCTTATATCTGCACAAATCAACAAAAGAACAGAGGACACACCATCAATACACTTTCCACAAAATGTTGACAATTGATATTTCCTTTAACATACTTAGACTTGAATTGTAAAGCATTAAATGTCCAATCTGATAACTAATGTGTCACAGGAACATTGATATAAGGAGTTTCAATATTGTCAGTATATTCACGATAATGTCAATCTTGTCAAAATAGTGTATCATTTGCTGATTTGGTGAACCATTTTAGTCAAATTTTTGCACTACACGTGCTTAGAAAAAAATCTGTACCCCCTAGAAAAATGACCTTCTAGTAAAAGAACTTAGACAAGAAATAAAATTCTTTGAATTGACTAAAAGGCACGTAAAATAGGTGAACAAAACTGTCAGGACAGCGGTATTACAATTTAAAATGTACAACACAAACTAAAATATATCTTTCAAAGGCATTGAAGTGTTAAATATGTAATTTTAAAGAGTAATATAGATAATAAATTACAACAGGAAAGTCTTTAAATGCCTTATGGCCAATAACCACATGGAAATGGGGTTGATAGATTCAAGACCCGAGAATATTTTACATGCTATTGACCGGATGGAGTAAAAAATCTATTCTCTCATGTGTACATGTTGTATTTTAACATGAAACCTCAAGTGGCCATTAACAAATCTGCATGGTATTCATCTGCCGAAAGTTTGATATAGTTTGAACCCCATATGCATAGGAATCAGCTTGCCAAAGAAATAAAAGACACCATGTGCATTGGCCTTGTACCTCTGTTGGGAGTAGGAAGGTACGCATACGTAAGTTAATGGGATAGAGTTCAACCACTACCAAAAATACTATCCTTTAAAGTTAAATTGAGTATCTCCATCTCGTTGTGGTGGGAAAATAAAAAAATTAAGATACAATGAATTTCAAGATGCCAGTTAATTTGGTAACATAGGTTGATGGCCATACCATATGCTAATGGTTAAGCCAACGCCATCTTCAACCCCATCCCCTAATCCCCCCCCCCCCCCCCCTCTCCTCTCCCAGGTTAAAAAAAAAAGAAAGCAACAACCGAGCGAGAGAACAAAGGAAAAAATGTTTATTCTTTAATTAGAAAGCATACCGCATTGGATTCTAACGGTTGTTTCCAAAGATTAATTATGCTGCAGGAGTAGTTAATATACTGTATAGTAAACAGTGGTAAGCTTCATTAGCTACTGGAAGAGCGACATTCATGGATCTCATCTTGCTTAACTTCACACAAGCAAAACTTGGTTCTCATGAGGACCATGAAATGAAGTTTGTTTCCTTTTCTTCTCCTCTTCACTGTGTCAACCTTCATCTTTATTTGTTTATCTACTAGTTTCTCCGCTCAGATTTAGAGAGACCAAAAACCAAAGTCAATTTTGGGCAGTTAGCTCATAATAATTATATATGATCCCATATTTTCTAACCAACTCGAATCATATGCAGTTATTTTCTGCTGTTTGCATCATAAGTATCAATAATATGGAATTCCACCAAAGCTCCAAAAATGTACACCCATATATGCATCTATTATGAGCTCCTTCAGCAGTAGAAATCGTGAAATATTACAATGTGGAGGAATCCAAGAAGGTTGAATAAGAAAGGGTCTGAATATCTAGGAAGAAGCAAAACGAAGCACCAGAATCCCATTTTCAGGTGGTCAACTCAGCATGCTAGGGCTGGACACCTAATTCTTGAAGTCAAATTTCCAGAAACTGCTATATGTTTGTGTAAGTAGGTCTATGGGGTTAAGGTTAAATGAGGTTTGAGGGAAGCTTAGACTTCTTGCTGGGTAACTAATTCTTTTTAACGTGACAATTAAAGGGTCAAGAAAGATCCTAGATACATCAAACAGTTAGGAGCGATCCATATGTTGATTACACTATCCGAATGATAATTCATGTTCTTTTAACTGTAAATGTCGGTGTGAATCGTAAAACAGAAGTAGCAGTGAGACAAAGGTCCTATCTACCTTCGAGGACATGAACAAGTTACTGGACAGTCTTACCTCATCAAAACATTCCAACTGACAACACCTGTTTCCCGTTCTTCCTGCTTAATAAGAATAGATTTGCCTTCTTTTCTTTTATTAGTGTGACTTGCATCTTTAGGCAACCCATTGGTGTCGCCATTAGGAAGAGATTCGGAAGTTTTATTAGCAATGCTTTCAACATCTTCATTTTCTTCCACATATTCTTCCATTTTCCCGGCATTTTCCATTAGTTTTTGGAACAGCACTCCATGATTAGAAAGGTATTCAAAAGTCCCCTCCTCCTTCACCATGCCATCATTCACCAGTATAATTCTGTCTACTTGTGAAAGAAAATGCAGCTGATTTGTGACTAAAACTCTGGTTTTTCCTCTTAGCTCTGCCTTGATGCATTTTTCAAAAACCTGGAAGTGCAAATGACACTCGTACAATAAGCATAAATTTCAACCACCAAAGATGGTGATAACTACAGAAAATCATAGTGTTAAATTTGATAAATTCATAAAGGAGGTGTTGAGAAAGATTTTTTCTTCTCTGAAAAGAAATCATATGTTTCACATAGCAAGAAACAGGTAACTTTCGTCAAATAATATCTATGAGCTCAGCTTTACCTAACTAATGAGGATTCTCTCTCCAAAGGATTTAATATGATCTGTCTGTGAATATGACCATATATCATGAATGATTCATTAAAAGCTGTTAAGTATAATGTTGATGCAACAACTATAGCTTATCTTGACGTAATTTTGATTAAATTAATGTAGGAAGGAATTACCTGTCGACCCACATGCGCATCTAGAGCACTTAAAGGGTCATCAAATATGTAAACATCTGAATTGGAGTACACAGCCCTAGCCATGGAAACTCTTTGCTTTTGTCCTCCACTAATATTAACCCCTCTTTCACCAATCTCAGTAAGGTCACCGCCCTAGCATTAGCAAGGCAGATAAGATATTCAGGTCAGAAACAACCAACGACATAGATTAGTTGCTCATTCATGATTCTAGCAACACGACAATACTTGGCATCTATACTTACAGAAAGCAAATCAAGGTCATGCTGCAATGAAGTCACATCTATTGCCTTGTCATACCTTGCAGCTTCAAACACAGATCCAAACAATATGTTCTCACGGACCTGAAAAAATAAAAATTTGCAAGTCTACATGATAAAAAGCAACATAATGACAACAAGATGTAAATTACTCAGCAGCCTTTGGCTTAAGATTATCGAAAAAATAAAAGTTTGCAAGTCTACATGATAAAAAGCAGCGTAATGACAACCAGATATAAATTACTCAGCAGCCTTTGGCTTAAGATTATCGAAAACCATGGAACCACTTTCCAACTGAACTAAATTGATGCAAGTATATACCTATATTGTTAGTTTAGGCTAGCGTGCTGTGGACATAATGCATTGGCAGAACAACTAAAAAAACCAGTAAGACCTATAAAAATAGTAGGCCTTTAGCAAAAACACTGCATTACACTATGCTTTTACTGACCGTTGCATTGAAAATCCATGAAACTTGTGGGACATAGGCAACTGTTCCTCTGATAACAACACTTGCATCAGCAACTGCAGGAAGCTCTCCAAGCATTGCTGATACAAGAGATGTCTTTCCTTCTCCAGTACTGCCAACAACTGCTACTAAACTCCCAATTGGTATATCCAAATTGATATTTGACAATGTTGGCTTATCTGCCTGGAATCAAAAGCCAAAGAAAGAATGTGTAAATACTTACCCAAGCTTTGTAGAAAACTCTGAAGTTCAAGCTTTACAAGCAGTCAGAATTCCAACAGTCACCAACTATATGAATGATCAAACTTTCATGTCGTTAATTATTTCTATGAAGAAGCACATTGCTTGCACGGTTGTCTTGAAATGTAAAGTTTTAAATCAAAACACAGAACATCAAGGTGTAACCATAAAGGCAGAGAACCTAGACCACCAAATCACCAAATCACTAAGTGCCAACAGCAATTAGCTCCATGCCCCTCAGAGCCATAACTTAAGTCCCAACTTGTGCTCAAGAAATGTACCCAGTACATTCAACAAGAAGAATGCTTGTCCGAGTAAAAGGAAATGAACAAGAAAGAAAGAAAATAGAATGGTTATAAATCCTTTCTTAAAATGCAACCTGTGCTAGTGAAACTAGCTAATTTCTCTTCTCAAAATTTAATTGGAAGTTGTCCTTGGCTTAAGGCTTTTTGATGTTGAAATACAAATGTACTTTCAATTGTAAAACAAAAAATAAAATTGAAATGAATTAGTGAAACTTTGCTTACATGACATAACAATCTATGAGAAGTCATACAAATTTTAGTAAAGAAAAATATGGTTTTTGTTTGACCAGTAAGATCATAGCCTTAACTTAGAAAAAATATATTTCTATGTAAGTATATATACATTTCTGGATTCATAATTCTTCAAAAGTATAAGGCCAAAAGTTTGACCTTCGATTCCCAAGAAAAGTATCCATTCCTGATTGAGATCGCTGGAATTCCTGGTTCAAGAGGTGGGTTAGGAAGTAGAATTCTCGCTTCAGCCAAGAGAAGTTCCTCCAGACGTTTTAGAGATACGTTTGCATTTACGACCTGACAAAATATGACAGGATTAGCAGCTCAAAAACATAAAAACAGTCATAATTGATACTTCCTTTACAGGAATTGGCACTTCAGACACATTTGAAAAGGATAAAATCTAAAAATAAAAACAGATATTAAAAAGTAAGGCATGGTAAGGGTAGCACTTTAGCAGATGAATTCGTTAACTATATCTAACATTGAAATTTACCTACGAAGAGCATGTAAAGCTACTCATACAAAATTATCATTCCTTCCAAAAGGAAGATCCTATTAAAAAGGAGCTACTTGCAGCTTGCCAGTTGACAGCTGAGATTTCGCAAATTCAGCTGGAGGAAAAGTGTATTAATGAATCAAAATTTGCTCAACTCCCAAATACCTTTTAATAAGTCTATATAACTTGACTTCATCACATCACAATATGAATGATTACCATCCAAAACATGCTAACATTGGTATTAGTTGAGGGTATTAATATCACTTATTTGGCAACAAATAACCTATAAAAACTAGATCCCTCAAGATAGACGGAACCCAGTGGTAAAAGAAGTGACTCATAAAAATAATGCAGGAAACAATCAGACTGATATCCCCTGAAATGTCTCTAACTCATGTATCTCTCCCTTAATGTACCAGAACAATACACAATGCCACGCTTAAAAGTATAAAAGATACAAAAGCAATCAGCAAATCTAACATTCGTTCTACAAATAATGCCACACAAGATACGGCAGCACTATGTGAGATCATAACAGGAACATAAGGAAAGACAGAACCTGAGTTATTATATTAGGCAGCATGAACAACGGAAAACGTAGCACAGCAAACAAAGAAAGCGATGTAAATGCCCTGGCAGGTGTCAGATCCCCTCCAAGTAGACTGAATATTCCAAACGAAATTACAGTCACCACAACTGGAATACTGTTTAGAATAAAACTGTTAAACTGCAAGAAGCAAAAAAAGGTGTATTAGAGTCCTTTTAGGAAAGAAGGAAAATAAAGAAACATAGCAATTTTAGAGTCTTTGTAGGAAATATGAATGTGTTGTATATGTACTTATGTGTACGCTTGTACATGAAGACAGGGAGGGAGATTTCTGCATTTAGAACATCATTCAGGTAATCAATAGCACATGACCAGCGCTTTTAAAATGCATGCTTTTTGACTAGGAATGTTCAATGGAAACTAGCATCATAGCAGCCTAAAACTCGCTTAATCTTAATCATCCAATCAATTAATTTTGCTCTATCCACTTCTTGCAAATTAGCTTTCCTTCTTTTTTTCTTTTCTTTTTTTTTTTTTTTTTTTTGGGGGGGGTTGTGGACTGGAATTGACTATGCAAAAACAAAAAAAAAACGAAAAAAGCTTTATCCCTGTCCTTTAGGAGGGACCTCCTATTTACAAATTTCTCTCATGCTAACTCTGCAGCATCTCTTCCATACCATGTACAGTTACAATTGGAAGCTTATTTAGCCTTCCACTGAACAGCTGTATTTTCCTTCCTTTTGAAAAAGGTCATGAGAATTAAGAACTGAAACACCTAATTGACGTATATCCTGGAGGATATCCCTTAACTTCCCAGCCAGTTTTCTTATTGACATCCTGCAAAGCTTAAATTAAAGTTTGTGAATCTGCCTCTAGGACCCCTAATTCAGTTGCCCTCCAAGCAGCTTCCCTTAAAGCTGTTGCTTCAGCTTGTAGCACAGTTAAGCAGGGAAGGTTGCCAGCATGATGAAAAAATGGCTTCCCTTCCCTATCCCTGGCTACTAAGAAGATGCTCTTTCTGTTCCTGATGACCATATGCCCCATCACAGTTTACTTTGATACACCATTGTCAGCAAATTAGCTTTGCTGACCATGCCACATTTGATTATACATATATGATGACACTTCAGATATGAGACAATGGGGCCTGGCCAAAAAAATTGTTGACATTCCTTGCAACAATAGACAGAGAAAGATACGGTAGGGTGGAATTAGGACTTTGATACATCAAGGATGTGCCTTTTTACTTTCTTAATATTGATTGGATAGCTGCATGTAGCTAGGAGAGTTCTTGTGGTGACACAGGATTTTTGTGTTTTTATATTGATGTAACTCCTTGTTTTGGATCATATTTTGTTGGATTTCTTGTCCACCCATTATGTAAACCTTTATTTAATGAATGAAAGTTTTGTTTCTTATCAAAAAAACAATAAGATACATGAGCAGTAGAATGCATGCTTCGAATATCCACTAGAGACATTCAAACATGGTAAACACAAGATCAATGGAGATCACACTTACCCATCACAAAGTATATATACTCAAAGAAATCATATTGAAGTATATAGATAAGAAAAATAAGGAACAAAGACAACTTTAAAGAAACTAGTTTATGCCGTACCGATCCAAGTATTTGCGCGCTCCGAAACCAAGACAGCTCCTCATTTCGAACACTCTGAACTTTTGATTGAAAACTTCCCTCCCATGCATAACATCTGAACCAATTTTGCACAAAGAGTCAAGAGTGATCAGTCCAATAACCTATATATGCCTAAGAGCCAGCATTTAAAAATGCAACATACTTCACAGTATCCATGGCAGCCAAAATTTCATTCATAAGTCCAATTCTCTTGTCCGTGCGTTGTAACCCTTCCTTTGACAATTTCTGCATTTTGCTTATCACGTACGTCTGTTCCCACAATCACATTTCAGAAACAAGGAAATTTCCATTCAAGATAACACAGACTAGACTGACATTGATCAAAAGATAGGGGTAGTAACCAACCAACAACAAACTGAACCAAATTCTAGCTTACTGTAGTATACATACCTACCTATAAATAGAGGGGGAGAGAGAGTAAAAGGGAGGAAAAACCCACTGTATGCTGCAGGTTAAGCTATTAGGGGTGCAACTATCTGTTAGAACATCCAACCCAAAATCAATTGGCAACGAGTGGAGAGATCCCTCAAGCATATAAACCAACATTGGATGATCACAATTGTTTGATGTGAGATATCTTTACACCTTGCCTCGCATGGTACTTGGGTTCGCACATGTGACTAACAAATATACAGACAAACATGCATACTGAGAAATGCCAATGGGTATGAGACTTGCTCCACTGACCACGCAAGGTCCGGCTTTGATTCCATGTCAGAGCATCCAACCTAAAACTAATTGGCAATTAATGGAGAGAACCCTCAAGCATATAACCTAATTAGATGATCCTGACCATTCAACGTGGGATACAAACTCTCTCTACACTATCCATTTCAATACTTACCAGTCACATTTAGTAGATTAAGGTTGACCATTTCTCGAACAAAATAATAAATGACTTGACTTGTCAACACGAATAATAAATGGGTCGTGTTAGTGTAGTATACGAATAACACAAACTAGATACAACTAACACGTTTAACAAATATTATAGGAATAAAATATTAATTTTTTATAATTTTTTTTATGAAGTATTGGCATAATTCCTATACAAAAAGAGATGTTTTTACTCATTTTTGATATTATATTTACTAAACTAATTTTTAGTTCATAGAAAAAGTATGAGTATTAGTTTAATTAAGTGATAATAGAACCATAGATTTAAATCGTTATATTTTTTTATTCCTAGGTTGCATGGGTCAACACGAACACGACATGAGAATAAACAGGTCAAGTTGATATGACATTATTAGTAAAATAGATTGGGTTAGGGTTAACTAGTGGTCGATACGAAACCGTGAAAGATACGACATGACACGAACTCACCCGACACGGCACGATTATCACTCCTATAAATTTTATTGAATAAAAGTTATGGAGCTTACTTTGGTAGAAGTGAATCTTTCTTGGTTGACACAACACGTTAGTTAAATGAGTTGGGTAAGGGTTGACTAGTGGTCGACATAAACCCGTTAATGACATGACACAAACACACCCAACACGACACGATTGTCACCCCAATAAACTGCTTACATACAAATTATGGACCCTTTTTTGATAATAGTAATTCTTTCTTATAAAGTACCCATTTCGGTATTAAGGGTGGGTTGATAACCCACCAGTTGAAGGCATTCTATTCAATAAGGCAAATAAAAGAAATGAGTTGATGAACCCTTATGGGTAGTCTTACCAGAGACCGGAATTTCTCCAATCTTTGATGATCCAACGAGCTATTAAGGAATTCATGTCCTCACTTCTCAGTATTCACCACTATCAGTAGGTGCTCATTGATTCTTCCTTTAACAAAAAAAAGAGGATAATGCCCCCGCAATTAGGCGTTCTCACCAGACAAATTGGGAATGAAATTCCCAGATGTAGTGAAATTGTTGGATTTGTTTCGGTTATTTCGGTTTTATTGGGTTTATTTTGCTGATTCATGATTTAAAGATGTATTCTTGTGTGTGTACTCAATGGGTCTTAACAGCTAAAATCATTATATATGGCTTCCATCTCATCTAATATTTACTTGGTGACTGAAAAAATTTAAATACATACTCATATCATGACCAGGATGGCAATCTTCAGTGTTTTAATGTTACATAAACGATGTTCCTTGAAAGTAGTATGAGGTGCTCATATTTTGTCTTAGTCATCCAGATCCAGACAAGTGATTCGAAAAGGTTTCTACCAAATCCTTAGTGTCTAGCTTAATTTGATCTCAGAACAGGAACAACATTAGCTATTACATGATTGATGACTAGCACAAAGAGATAAATAAGTAAACAAGAATTGACAATTTATGGCCACAGTGATCACCCAGAAGTAAATAAATAAAAAAAAATAAAAAGAGGAAAACAATGTAAATTATTTACCAGTTCAATATGAGATTCAATAACTTCTAAGGGACATTATAAAATCAAAGGGGAAAGAGGCTTCATATACCTGTATCGGGAACATAAGAACTAGCATCAGTGCACCAAGAAGTGAAGCAACACCCAGTTGCTGGTAAAGAAGAACCATTGCGATTATGATACGAAAAGGAGCTGACCACAAAGTGTGAAGTGATTGACATATTTGCTGTAAACATAGATAAAACATTTAGCCATTGTATAAACCAAAGGAATTTGGGCATATACGGGCACAGAGTAACATGCTTCAAGAAGACACCAAATAAAATCTATTGCGATAAAAGTAGAGGAGACATTATCTTGGGTTGCCTATTTACCCTAGCTCTTCCTAGTAGTATTTTCATTAGAGTGAAAATATGGCAATTTTAAATTTCTTAACAGGTTTCCATAATGGTTATACTTCAAAATAATGAGGCTCTAATGCTTTCAAACTTCTAACATGATTTTCGAGTCTTGATAGTTGATCAGACCTAGTTGCGGGATTCTGACCCCGCACTCAGCCAAAACCACATACCCCCAACCCAAAAGCCGAACAAAAAAAGGAAAAATAAAAATAAGAAGGAATCATGAAAAATGCCTGTGCACAGCATTGACCCCCTAGGGCAGAACGTGTACAATTCACTTTTAGAATAAGAATTTTTGTGACACAATTTTGTAGTAACATTTCATGTTTAATGATAAAGACCTGGTTTCGCTACCCTAATATAAATCTCACTGCCGTCAGAAACAATATACACACATATACACACCGATATATGTACATTACCATCCAATTTATAGTTTAAGTTGAAGTCCTAGTCGTCTAGGCACTAGGCATCGGAATAAAGGTACAGGAGTACATAAAATACTATTAGATATTGCACAGCACATTTCATTAGTCAGCAGAAAGATCATTGCACCATTTGTAACATGTTTTACAAACAAAATTGGGAAGCAACAACATGCCTGGAGTGCTTCTGCATCTGTTGTCATCAAGTTGGTTATTTTTCCAGAAGCGAACTTTTTGCGACTCTCATGAGTTAGCCTTAGAGACTTGCGGAATACTGCAGCAATCTACAAGTGATGATAAGTTCACATCAACATTAGAAGGTTGTCAATTGCATTTGAAGACGAGAAAGAACTATAAAAATACAAAAGAAAAGAAAAAGAAGAACAGACGCTGTACCTGCCCCAGCAGAACACTGCTAGGGCTGACCATATGGATCCAGCAAGAGCTGATCCCACCCAAATTTAGGCAAATCAAATGGGCAAATTCATTGTAGTTATAACCAGATGATTATGACCCACCATGAAGTCAATCAAAGTAATTGGCAGTTTTAGTGGACGCCCGATTAAACTGGCTTAGATCTTCTCATTCTTTCAATCCAGAAGAGAAAACTCATTAAAACACCGCGTCGCATGTTACACCTATTAAAACTCCAAGGGAAAGAGAAGTTCAGGGACGGGCGAGTGAAACATTCTTTTTTCTTCCTCATTCAATAGGCATGAAAATGAAATTCCAAAAGAGGGCTTCAGAGCATGGTTACCATAATTGACTAAACCCTTAATGACCCACGATCTAAGTACATCGATCTCAAACGAGGTGGGTTCGCTATATAGATCACCAAAATGGACGACCCCAAATTATAATACTAACTCTAATTTAATTCACTTTAGAACATAAAACACAAATATAAAATACATATTAATTGACTAAATGTATATAAATTTATAATTATATATTATTTTAAATAATAGAAAATCAAGTACAATTATAAGATAAATAATAACTAACTTAGTGTTTATGAATGTTCTGTAATATATAATGTTGTATTGTAATGAAAATGATCTACATAAGAGTTCTAAAACGAATTGCAACCTAAAACATCGTACCAGCTAAACCTATCCCCATTGTACCGCGTACCTAAGAAATTGTCGTATCGTGTATACGTACCCGTACCACGTAACAAAGCGACCAAGGATCAAAATTTCGTTTCGAAGTACCGTTTCGGTCAACTCAAAAATAGAAACGTTTCGGAAACATTTCGGAAACGCAATGGAAACGCAGAAAAAATATGGAAATGCATAGAAACACAAATGCAATCCATTAATTTATAAAGATATGCTAAATAATTTATTAATTCAACATATTTATTAGGTTAACATCAATTTATACAAGAATAAATTTAAATTTGAGGGAAAAAAAATGCTTGACTTGAGGCGAAAGTCACTTAAATTAGTTTCAAACACTTAATTTTTATGAAATAAACATATTTTTACATAATATTAAGGTCTTATAATACACATGAAATGCTAATGAGTACATACTTACATGGTTACATCCATTCCCCTGTGGAGTGTCGAGCAGGCTCATACATCGGTGTAGGCTCTGGGTAGCTACTTAGAGAAACTCCATATGTGACATAAATATGATGACAATAGTTACTCCAAATCATATTATTACGGTAATATAATCCAATTAATAATACTATTTTATTATAATACTAATAATGAAGGGTATCAAATTAAATTAATGATACTTATGTATACTTAAAAATTAAATGTAATTGCAGTGGGTATTAAATGTAATTACAGTAGGTATTAAATATAATTACATTAGGGTATTAAATGTAATTGTTAATACTTATAACAAAAAAAAAAAGCAAAAAACTTGCACAGCAGTGAGGTATTAAATATAATTACAGTATGTATTAAATATAATTATAATGGGTATTAAATATAATTATAGTAGGGTATTAAGTGTAATTATTTATTCTTATAACAAAAAAATTATAAAAGACAGAAGAGCAGTGGGAATTAAATGTAATTATAGTGGGATATTAAATATAATTATAGTGAGTATTAAATGTAATTACAGTGGGTATTAAATGTAATTATAATGGGGTATTAAATATAATTATTCATAATGAACCGAATATATCACTGTTTTGTCGAAACGGTTCGAAACAATGCCGTTTCGACCGAAACGGTCCGAAACAGTACCGTTTCGACCGAAACACTAGAATTTTGTGATTCAACTACTGTTTCGTTTCGGAGTGTTGAAATTCCGAAACGTTTCGGACGTTTCGGACGTGTCGACACGACATTTTGATCCTTGAAAGCGACCCACGATCTAAGTAACATTGCTTCAGAGCTTTGAGTGCAGATTAAAGCTACAATCCCAGTAGACTTAAGCAGCTGTGGTACAACTTAGTAACAATTCCAAGACTATTGAATCATACATACACTCTTAGTCTTAGACATTGTTTTCCTGAATCCAGCCTTTATGGAAACAATTTCCCATATTAGAATGACTTGACATAGGCTAAACAATATAATAATAGGAAGAACTGAATCACTTTTCTTTGGTTTACGTTTGCAATTAATTTGTTCTTTCTCAAAGACTGAGGTATTGTTTCACAAACTAGCATCCAAACTAATCAATTCAGAATGCATAAAAATTATGATATCTTGTTTTTAGTTCAAATCAATAGAAAATGTGATGAATGAAAATGGAGTGGATACCCTGTGGTCCAAAGTCCAAACATCAGCTGTGTCCATGGCTGCGCTTGAGAAGTAACAAAACCTATGCAATCTCACCCGCGCTGTAAATTAATCCTAATAAACAGCAAAAACTTCCCAAAATCTATCCCTGTAATCAACATTAGCTCTCTAAATTTAAGGGGGTGGAAAATGTTTTGAACTAATTAAACGCCATTAGAATAATTATTTGATTGATAAAGAAAATATGTGACAATTATTGCTTACTAATTACCACTTTTTGTCTTATCAGGTCCATGTGAGTGCGTGAAAAAGTGCAACCTATCTTATGCCCGTGACATGACGACATGACTGAGTTTTGATGAGGGTGGAAGGCAAAGAAATTACAAGCCCTATGCCCCATAATGCAAGATAACCTAGTGGCAATAATACCAACTAAAAGTTCCCGGCCCCACCATTTTTCTTACAGGTGACCCAAATTGACTAGCTCAACCCTAAGAGAAAACCAAAAGAGCTGCCAGCGGTATAGCTGCATTGCCAATCTCAATATTCAATGTAACAATAATGCAATAAAACAAACTACAAATGCAACCAAAGGTAAACAAGACATCCCAAGGAAATTACCAGAGTTGCTCTTAGCCTGTAGCCAACACGCATGACATTCTGAAAATACTGAGCTTCACACAGCACGCCAAATACCTAAACCAAGATTTAATTTATCAAAGTACTGTAAAGCTTCAACACAGGGAAGAAAAACTCACAAGAGAGAGGATATGGTAATAATAACAAGCAAAAAGCAACCATTGATCAAAGGGCACAAGTTAACCTTAGAATGCAACAACAATATCAAAGAACCAACCAGTTATTCTGGACAAGAGAAATGCATAACATAAAAATAAGACATAAAAGAAAAAAATAAGAAAAATAACATAAGCCCCACCAAAAGCACTTATGTGTAGAAAATTCTGCCATGTCAATATATTTTCGTGAAAAAAGTGAGGGAGACTTTACCGTTCCTGCATTAATATCTATGATGTTGGTGTAAATTCTTTTCCAAATATTCCATAGTGTGCCCTAACACCTCTTTCAAGAGCTTGTCCCCTGCAAATCAACAATACTATGGAGATTCTTAAAGCCCGTTGAACTTCCAAAGAGCTAGGACATTACCCTTTAAAATTTGAATGCACTGGAGATAAACCCACAACTAACTTCTTCAACAATTATAAATTATGAAAAGAAAAATCCTCAGAAAGAAATTAGATTGCACGACCCCAAATGGGGTGGGTTCTAAATAGCCCAAATTTCCAACCCCAAATTGTAATCCTTGTTAGAGTATTTTAGTATTAGGGATAGTTTAATCATTTTCCAAAATTGTTTTGCCCTACTAAAAAAAGGTTTCTTTTTGCATCTTCTGTGATTAACATTGTAAGCAAACTATAGCAGTAATAATATTTTCTCTTTTCATTCTCTTCTCTAATCAAAGTCATCATGGTATCAAAGTGGATTTTCGATCCTAAACACTATTAGCATCGCAGTACATTATCGAAAGAGCCTAAAAAAAATTATCGGAAGAGAAATCTGGGTTAAAACAGTGGTTGACGTCACCTATGCACATGATGATGTCATCAAACAGGGGCAATGGCAACCCCTATCTGGATCAATTTCTCATGGCCTTCATGCTGGTATGATTGGTTCTTGATTTTGAGGTTGCTTAAGTAGGGTTTTGATTTTTTGAATATTTTTCCAAGAAGTAGATTGAAAATGTTCGATATGAAGATTTTGCCCCTTTTCTGTCGAATCAGATGCTTGAATTGAATCCCTCCCTAAGGGTGCAACTAAGACGCCTTGGTACTTGACTAAACTGTACACCAGCGATTTCACCTCTCAGTTGTTCCTTGGCTCTTTCGTGTTCTTCTAATCTGTTTTGGGCAGAGATCTTGCACTGGGATCTTGAATCTGGTCTGGACTGATTTTGCCACTGGTTATGCATGGGGCTACAGATTTGCACTATTTATTTGATGAATTTTGCTTCGTTGGGTTGATTAGATTTGGTTATTTGGTATATTGCATATGTTCTTGTTGTTCGGCGCTTCTTTCTTGTGACTATGGCTAGTGTGACCTCAAATTCACAAAACAAACAGATTGTTTCATACATCTCTCTGAAAGGGTGTGATTTAGTATTGGTGGTGCTTGATTGAAGGATTTGAAGACTCTTGAAACTAATTTGTGCTTGTCTCTATATTAGCTACTATTTCTGGACACTGTGTTCCTGGGTTCTGCTCTAAACAGCTAGGGTGTATCCCTAAACTTCTAGGTTGTTGTTCTTCTTCTTTGGACCTTAGGGCTTACTATTGAAGTATAAATACTTAATTTATACCCTTTCTAACAGCTTAAACTTTTAGAGTATATAATTGTTTAATATGGTATCAGAGGACGAGGTCTTATATTCGAATCTCGCCGCCACCCTAATGATTAAAATATTTTTACGTGCTAGGCCCAAAAATTAGTATGCACGTGAAGGGGTGTATTGAAATATAAATACCTAAGTTACACACTCCCTAACAGCTTAAACTTTTGGATTAGATAGTTGTTTAACACTTACTTCGATACTGACTTGGTTGGCGACTCTATGGATTGCAAATCCACTAGTCATTTTGTCGCTTGGTCAATTTGTAGTCGTTCGTTCTTCTGCTATTGTTGAGTATCATGCTATGGCTTCCACCACAGCTGAGATATTCTAGTTGAGTTGGTTACTTACTAATCTTGACATTTCTTTTTCTACTTCTAACCCAATGTATTGCAACAACACAAGTGTAATTCAGATCGCACACAATTCAATATTTCATGACTATTATGCACTTTTGTTTTGTTCTTGGGAAACCATTGAAGTTTTCTACTACCAGATCATGAGTTTGAGGGATTGTTAAGAGTATTTTAGAGTTGGGAATAGTTCAGTCATTTTCAAAAATTGTTGTGCCCTACTATAAAAGAGTTTCTCTTTGCATCTTTTGTTATTAGTAGTGAGCAACTATTAGCAATAATGACTTTCTCTTTCCATTATCATTATTTTCTCTAATCAAAGTTATCAATCCTAACCCCAAATCGGTTCGCTGTGGAAATCTTATCACAAATGTAAAATAAAAATTAATACACTATGACCATCTGCATGTGTAAGTATACGTTACTTAACATAATAGTGAAAGCTATCACAGGATGACCAAAAATGGCGTACTAGCAACATACCCCATTGCACCAGGTACCCAAGAAAGTATGATACCAAGTACACATAACCAATCCCTTATCAAATCCAGTAGAATGACCCCTACTCGTAAGGTGTATAAGTTAATGAACAGGATGTAATCCGCCTCTTAGGAGAAAATGAACATTAGTTTCTGAAGTTGTGCTTTTTTCCGCTGCGCTAGAGATCACCATTGTCGTGCTCCTAGTAATTCTTCTTATTTTTCATCCTTCTCATATCCATTCTCTTCACTTCATGATAATAGAGCATGTTATTTTTCTTGAACTATAATAAACATATAAACTGCAATTCACATTCCACCAATTTCTAACCATTCCTAATACAGTTGACAGGAAAAAATTAATCCTCACCCTTTATGGCATTGTTGGAAATGTGAAACCAGCTTGTTTGTCACAAAGTTGAACACCCAAAAATTTTCATTCACTCACAAGCCATAAAAACAACAGGACAGGTTAATGCACATTGAGAGTTAAAAATGGAGTCGGGTGTGAACTTCAGTTTGGTCCCTCAAATAAACACAGCTAGGACAATGAACAAGCTCAAATGCCAAAAGAAATGCATCTAAATGTAATACAATCAAGTATCACAGGAAATGAATGCCTAAAAAATGGAACTTCTTGTTCTTGAAACTGATCCAATGCCCCAAAACAAAATGCAATTTTTCCTTAAGATTGGTTCATCATTTTAATAGGCATCATCTTACAACCTCAAGTTTGGTTCAATATCACATGCCAACAAAACAGTGGGAAGCTGAATGGAAACTGTATAATTCCAAGATGACCTGTATAGCACATCATAATATCTGCAGCATGCATCAGAATAACCCATAACACCAAAAACAGAAAAGTCAAAGCATTTTTAATATTAATATAATTCTTGACTGAGACAATCATAGAAGAAAGAAGGGAGTATCACTCCATACCACTCCAACAAAGATGGAGAACGCATATATGTAACCTTTCCAAGCTGGATCACCTTGTTGCATAGACTGCAGGATGTCAACAATACAACATAAATGAGATAATTGATTGGAACAAAAAAAGAATAGGAAAGATCAGATATATTCCAACCTAGTTATCTATTACACTCTCATAATGACAGAAACTAGTTTTACTATCAAAACAATCACATGAAGTTCATTTGAGAATTCCATTTTAAAACTCCATTGAAACATTAAAAAACCAACGGATAAAAAATATCATTATCGGCAACAGGACTTAATAGGACCACCCCACTTTTGCTGAATTATACATTAATATCTTTAAGATAGACAAGAGAGGGCTAAAAATCCCAGGCCCAATTCTGCCGTCCACTCTTCAATCTTTCCCCATTAAATTTATTGCTTTTGTAACTAATAGTAAAATGAAAGCCACATGAATCAGTTCAGCTGAGCATGAAGGAGATTTAGGCATTCATTCAATGCCCTATTATTGGCATATGGCATATGAAACCAGGGAAAGGTTGTATTACATTTGGGAAAAATAGACAAAACAAGGCTTGATTTACCATACACAGCACAGACTGGGATTGAGTATAAACACAAGCGACCCACTTCAATCTTCCCAAAGAGCCATAAAATTGAATTTAGCCAGAATAGTTAAAGGTGTTCAGTTCTCAATGAAATCTTATAACTTTTTTCTGTAACTCCAATGTAACCTTATGATACAACTACAAAGGGGACACATTTCAATTAATTTGGGGTATGCTTGCTCGATCCTCCCTCAGCTTGGACAAATAAAAGCTAGGAAATAGTTTTCCTTTAGCATTCAATTTGTAAGGAAAAATACAGGAAACAGCCTGGTTATCTAATTTGCAGGCTTAATTTGAAAATACTTCCTTGCAACTCATACAAGTAATTATCCTTAAGAAAATCTATATGATAAAGGCAAGTTGTTTTTGAATCAAAGACAAAAAGCGGCTCAAATCGTTTTGGGATCAAGGATCAAAATTTCGTTTCGAAACGGTCGAAACATCCGAAACGTTTTTGTTTTCAAGGAGATCGAAACAAATCAGTGATGGAAATAAAATTCTAATATTTCGAAATATTCCATAATATTTTGAGATATTTTGTAATATTTTAATGCATTTGTACAATTATTTCGAAATGTTTCAAAGTATTTCAAGATATTTTGATATATTTCAACCAATGTTTTAAAAAAATAATTCTTAAATTTTTTATTTTTTTCATTATATTTCCGAAACTGGTTAAAACGTTTTCGAAACAAATCGAAATGTTTTCATTTTCTAAATGACTGAGACAATACACCGAAACGAAATTTTGATTCTTATTTGGGATAAAACAAGACTTCATCCAACGGACTAGGCTATACCAACTTATCTCAAGCTATTCACGACTAAGATCTTTCTAGAATTATTGGTCCAATGTACTAGATTCACTCCAAAAAAATTTATTCTGTCCAAAACGTTTAATTTTTTAATCCCCTCAGTCACGCTTCCCATCTCCCCCGTCCAACCCCCTCTCATGCCCTAAATCTCTCCTCTGCCTAATCTCGCCCTATCTCTCCCCCCAAATCCACTCAACATCTCAATCTCTCCCCATATCTATTCCCCTCCACACTTAGCCCACATATTTGCCTTTTTCTCTAGCCCTATCTTTTCTCTTATCCCAACGACAACACATCTTGATGCTCAGCCACCATGATCGATGCCATCACCACCGTTTCCCTCTCTTTCCAACTCTCTCACTCTACTCCTTCGTCTTACACAACCTACCAAGCCACGGCCCCACAACCAATAGCCACAACACCACCACTATGAAACCCAACACAACCCCCGAACACATCGACCCACCACTATGAAGAGCCATCATCAACCACACCAAGAGCCATCGTCCCCATTCGCCACTGAACTCATTAACAACGGCGAATTCTTTGCGCCATCTATCATAGAAAAAGCACACAACCCATCGATTTCACCCCCAAAATCTTGAAAATTCTGCCTCTTTCTATGTACCTTTTGCTTTCATATATCTGGAGGTTATATTTTTCTACGGTAATGGGCTTTGAATGGTAGAGGTAGTTGGCGATTTGAGATGGTGGAGACCAAATGATTTGTTTGTTTTGTTAGAAGTGATGAAAATTAAATTTGCGTCAATCAAGTATGGCAAATAGATATTTTGATCTTTGAGTGATCTATAATGGTGATTTAGCTATGTCATTTACTTTGATCAACTTTGTTGATTACTTTTACTAGTTTTATCAACTTTAATTTGTTTGTCTTATATCACACAATTTATTTATAATATTTTAAAGTACTATTGTATTGTATTGTCTTTCACATGGGTCTTGGAGTTTAATTTGTGAAATTTGATGTTTCCTGTTTGTTTATTTTGAAAGAAACAAGAAACATTTTTCATCAAGAGTTAAGGCCATGAGGCTCAATGGCTACCAACGTCCTCTCCATCCTTTACAGGTATTTTCTTTACTCACTTTCTACTGTTTGATATTGTTCGCTTATGTGGTGCCAATTTTGAGGTTTGTGTGGCTGCAATAGAAGGCCCTGAGGATGTATGGTGAGTTATGTTTGTTTTATGTTAGTTCACTGTCAAAATTGATATCGATAAGGTCACTCACACCTTTAGCGGGTAAGCAATAAATACAGTTTGTCAACCTACATTGAGACACACATGTATATGGCTATTGTACAACGAATTGACGTAAATGTGACTGTGCAAGAAATGACCAGATTTGAATTACAACTCATGTTTCATT